AATTTGTAATGCTAATGCAATTGGAAACATGGTTTTAATGAATTAAATAACTGTGTAATTTTGTGTTCTACAAACTCATTTTATTGCTACATGAAATAATGTTTATGGTCAGAATTAAAGCAATGTGTATAATATCATTAGGGGACGTCTATTAGAGCTATTTAGTTATTTGTATGGATGTAATGTATGAACGACTTATCATTGGTACGACCTGAGCTTGATCAGAGGCTTATTCTACTCTAATATTCGTTATACTGGAGCTAAAACCGCTTTTTAAATAGATGTTTGCAGGTTAGGGCCTAGTAGTATATTTCACTACTAGTTCAACGAGCTTTTGAAACCCTATCGAGCCCCGAAATGGGGCTTTTTGACGAGTATTGAACGACTCTTTTCACCACGATAAAAAACTATTAAAAAAAACAAAAAAATAAAAAAAACTTTAGTTGTAACTTAGTTTGTAGATTTTTGTAACAGTTTCACTAATGTCAAAAAAACAATCCTACAAGAGTAAAGTTTGTTTATACGGTATAAAAGTCCAATGACATCATTGATAAACTACTTGATGAAAAATGTTTTTTAATCAGTTTCCTGTCGATAATTTATATAATATTGAAGGTTGATATTAAGGACCCTTTTAATTTCGATTGGAATTAGTTTATACTCGAAGAAAGTATAAAATTATGGCCTACAATATCAGTTATCTGTTTCCTTCCGATTTATGCTGTCTTGTCAACTTTTTATATAGGCTAACTTGGCACGACCATTCTTCTCGCTTTTTAAACTAAAACTAAACAATGAACTAACGAAAATTCTAAATAAGCCTATTGCTAACATTGAATTAAGCATTTTATCATAACATGAAAATATACTAGTTACATTTTAATTATGTTTTAAAAAAAGGAACAGTTTAAATGGCGCTATCATGGATATTAAAAAGAATTTGGCTAATTAATTTACCTGTGTGTTCACTTGGTATGTAAATATTGTAATTGTTACTTATCTGAAATAATGTTGTATTTTCGAAAGCATTTTTATTTCAGAGTTTAATACATACAGGTCAAGAAGTACACATACTTAAACAAACAACTAATATGTATTTTCCCTTACTTCTCCTTTTTACAATTTGAGGATTTTAAAATATCTTAAGAGTTCTATGATAGTTTATAAGAATTAAATTGAATTGTTGAACCAATAGTGTAAACTGTCAACCATTTCTTTATTTTCCAGACATTATTTAACAATTTAAAAAGGTAACGGAATGCACTTCATACGAGTCGTAGGCAATCGCGTATATATTTTTTCAAATGTTAGTAAAAATATAAGAACGGATGAGTATGTTTTTACCTACAAAACATAAATATATTATTTTAAGATTAAAATGAATGTCTACCTAAATTAGTGACGTTATGTTATCCGTGAAAATTATTCGAAAACTGAAAAGTATCTCCTTATCTTATTACTAGTAAAGGACGGTAGAGGAATATTACCGAGGCTCTGTTGAGCGTTGACATGCCAAAAAAGCGTTGCGCAAGCAAATTGGTTTCCAAAGCAATTGACATTTTGTAACGAAAATTGAGATTGAATTTTAGAGACGTTTCCCGTTGCGTCAGCATCTATTGTATTTGGAAAAGGGACAGTGAATCTTGTGATGAAAAACGGATATCTGAAACCTGTCTAAAAATAATGTCTTTGATTTGTAAGCAAAATTGTGTTTGAAAATTGTTTATTTTTAAACGTAAATAATTCTTAAAAGACATAAAAGCAAAACCTTGTATGAATTAATTTTTTAAATTTTATTATTCCTATTTAATCTGTCTGAAAAGTGTTTTATTTTATTTTATGTGATCAAATTATAGAACCTATGGTATACAATTTAAAAACCATACATTAAATTAAATGATAGAAATATATTATGGCCCAGATAATAGTGTAAATGAATCCTATTTTACAAAATTGAACGGAATTTTAACTGTCTTTTTGATGATAACATTTTAAAATTAATTACTGAAACTGTGGACATTTTCTTTGTAGCCACTTCTGTGAAATATTTCTTGTCTGCTTTGTATTTCAATTTAAAACTTAATTACTTGTCATTTTCAACATTCTTTGACATAAACAAAATTAAAATGAGTGTTTGAAAACTAATTTTTTTATGTTACAGTCGTATTATGTGATACATACCGTGCACTGTTGTAAATTAAAATTATATTTTTAAGTTTTCATAATTTCAGTTGATTTCTCTGTTTTAATAGTTTAATATGTGTAATGAAAAAAACTAATATTTTCTCCGTTTGAAATCAGTTTATTTTTGTTAGATTTCGTTTATGTTGTTTACAGTAAACTTACGTAGACTAGAACTAGAAAGTCAAATAAAATCTGCTGATGTTTTACACAATCAGTCTAGTAGAAATGGAGCAATATGGTTACAGAACATATAAATTATGTAGGTTAATTAATTTGAAATATTTTTCATAAAAGAACGTCATGGCAGATTAGCTTAAAACTATTATTGTATGTATACTAAGTAAACATATTTTCTATATATTAGGTAGAAATTGTAAAAATTATAATTTTTTTTTTAATAGTGTTCATTTGTGAGTTCAATATAGTTATTATTATTATTTTATTATTATTATTTATTATTATTTATATAAATTTAAAATTAAAATTATAATAGCTTTCAAAATATAAATAAATATACCACTCATACCCTCAAGAACTAACTGCAATACATATTAAATAAACAATTAATTTGCAACTTATTATTTAAAATACAGATCTTATGATTTTCGATCATCTTACTTAAGATTACACTTAAGTCATTGCTTTAAATAACAATTGGTTTGTGAAATTAATAATTCCGGTAAGATGCAAATGTTAAAATTCAATTAAGTTTACTGGCCAAAAAATACACGCTAAACAATAATAATGATTTCTTAAAAGAAGTTTGTATTCATGAGTTAATGTGAATTAAAGCCAAGCTCATTAATAAAGCGAAATGTGTATTTAAGCTTTTTTCCTTTCCTTTTTTGGGATTGTTCCAAACGCGACATGTAAGCGGGCCAAAACAGTGTAATGAATGGACATGTGTTACGTCATGTTCTTTTATTTAACTCTATTATATCACCTGGATAAAATCTTTAGAACTATTTGTATAAATAAATAAGTCAAAGAAAATTTTATATTAAAAAACGTAAATATATATTGAGTAACCATCGTTTTACTACTATTGTTTCTTTTTCTTGTTTAGATAAGGCGAAAAGATAATCCATTTTAATAATACTCAATATAAAACAGAAATACTATTGTTATTGGATGTTCTACATTTACATTTTATTAGAGATGTTTTACTAAAACGTATATTTTAGTTACTGCAATCACCTAAAATTCTACATCATTAAGGTTGCATTGACTTAAGGCATGCTTAGGTCAATCTGTAACCCTGTTGGGGTTCTGCAAGATAAATATTTTTCAAAATAAAATAAAGCATTTCTTAAGCATTGCCTCCACATGCAATCATTTATTCACTATAGATTTCTATACTGTTTGTGTTAGATAGTTAAATGTATAAGTAATTAATACATCAGCTGATTTATTATTATTAAGTTTGTTAGTAAATATTCTGCTTAGGTTGATGTGTTTAAGAATTCAATAAAATGGTTCTTTTATATTTTGAATATCATTTAGTGTAATTCTATATTGGCGACGATGAGTAAACGAACCAAAAGAAGAAATAGTTATTTCAATGAAGAAGATGAGTATGAAACTAAAGAAGACGCATTGCAATCAAAGATAGAGAAGTTCAAATGTCAAAGCTATGATGAGTCTAGTAGGTGGGATGATTATGAAGCACATTTTCTATTGTTATGCAAGGTAAAAGGATTGGGAGAAGATTCTCAGAGAGCAGAGGATGCTCGAAGGGATCTTTTGCTTGCCTATGTGGGTCCTGCACCATTAAGAAAAGTTTCAAACTTTCTGCTGCCTTTAAAAGTACATCAGGCTACGTGGGCAGAACTAGTTAATGGTTTCAGGTCAGTATACAAAACTAGTAAAACTATATTTTCAGCTAGAATGGAATTTGAAAAAAGTATCAGAGAAAATAGTGAAAGTCTTTCAGAATTTGTAATACGTTTGAAAAATTTAGCAGATTTTTGTAAGTATGAGAACAAGTTTGATGAAAGAATAAGAGACAGATTTGCTGGAGGTATAAATTTTCCAGAGTTTGAAGTAGAAATTAGACAACGATGGCCTGATGGGGTAAAAGAAAATGGTGACAAGTTAACATCTGAAGATGTTTTTGAACTGGCCACTTCAATGGAAAGAGCTCATCATGAGAGATATTCAAGAATAATGATAAAGAGTCGGAAGTATCACAAGTAAGAAGAAACAATAAGGAGTTTAAAAGAGAAGTGAAATACAATTAAAAGACAAATCATCCATGTAGTAGATGTGGAACAAAGCATGAATTTGGTAAATGTCCAGCCTATCAACAAAAGTGTTTGAATTGTAAAAAAATAGGACATTTTGCAAAGGTATGTCGGCAAAAACGAGTGAATAATTTGCATGAAAAGTCAGAAGATGAAGAATCTGAATCGGACTCACATAACATGAGGATAAACGATGTTAAAAAGGAAAGAAGACATATTTGTAAAGCACGTATTCATTTAAAGTTAAATAAGGTAGCTACAAACATGGAATTTGACTCTGGAGCTTGGGCCTCAATGATAGGTAAGCCTCTTTGGGAGAAAATTGGTTCACCAAGACTTGATAAGACTAATTCAAAATATGTGGCATATGGAAACAATATTTTAGATATACTTGGTGAATGTTATGTCAATGTTACAGTAGGTGATGAGAAACGTAGATTAAAAGTAGCAGTAGTAAATGGAAATGAGAAACCGCTGTTTGGTTTACCATGGATATTAGCCTTTAATATGAACCTCCCTCCTGATGTTACTATTAGTAAAGTAAAATGTAAGCAGAATCATAATCAATATAAGATGGATGATGTGAGGGTTAAGGAAGTACTAAAAGAATTTGAAGATGTGTTCTCTGAAGGGCATGGGAAAATCAAGGGTTATAAAGCACGAATTCACGTTCGAGAAGATGCAAACCCTCAACATTTTTCAGCACGCAGGGTTCCGTTTCCCTTGAAAAAACGAATTGAGAATGAGCTTACAAGACTTGTAAATGAGGATATCATTGAAGAGGTAGATCCTGCTGCTACACCTATTCCCTGGGCTACCCCAACAGTTAATGTAGAGAAGAATGATGGTTCAATAAGAATTTGTGGAGATTTCCGAGTCACTTTGAATCAAAATTTGGTCCCAGAAAATGCAATTATTCCGACATTTGAGGAACTAACAAACAAAGTTGCAGGCGGACAAGAGTTTTCCAAGATAGACCTACGAGATGCATACCTACAAATGGAGGTTGCAGAAGAACACCAAAAGTATTTAGTAATAGCAACGCATAGTGGTTACTATAAATACAAACGTTTACCTTTTGGGATATCATCTAGTCCAGGTATTTTCCAAAGATATATGGAAAGACTCTTAGCTGGGATACCACAGGTTGGAGTTCTTCTGGACGATATTATAACAACTGGAAGGAATAAGAACGAGCATTTACGAAATTTGAGAGAAGTTTTGAAACGAATGAAAGAAGCTGGTATAAAAGCAAAGTCTAGTAAATGCAAATTTTTTGAAGAGTCGGTGACTTACTTGGGACATACAATCGACCGGAATGGAATACATCCTACTGAAGAAAAAATAAAAGCCATTCGAGAAGCACGGTCACCTACTAATGTCAAGGAACTCCGATCATTTTTAGGTTCTATTAACTACTATGAACGATTTAATCCGGGACTTCATGCCATTTGCAGTGATCTCCATAAGCTGACTGGGTCTAAATCGCAATGGAAATGGTCCAAACAAGAAGAGGGGACATTTAAAAGAGTAAAAGACATTCTATCAAGTAAAGACACAGTAGTGCCATACGAAGAAATGAGACCATTGGTAATGGTCTGTGATGCATCAGAAAATGGATTGGGAAGTGTACTAATGCACAGATATGAAGATGGATTAGAAAGACCAATTGCTTTTGCCAGTCGTACACTATTGCCCGCTGAAAAACAATATTCAAATATCGACAGAGAAGCGCTAGCTATTATGTTTGGACTCAGGAAATTTCATCAATATGTATATGGTCGGAAGTTTACTTTAGTAACCGACCACAAACCTCTACAACGGATATTTGGAAATATGCGAGATCTTCCAAAAGTTGTAAATAGCCGTTTAGTGAGGTGGGCTCTCCAGTTGAATCAATACAACTATGACATAGAGTACAGAAAAGGAGAAGATAATGTGTGTGCTGATGTTCTATCAAGACTTCCGATTGAAGAAGATCAACCTGAGGAGGCTCACATTGGCTTTTTGAATGTTGATAAGGTTAACTCTATCATGTCTTATGACCTCTTGAAACAAAATTCATTTACAGATAAAGCAATTAAAATGGCAAAAAACTTTGTATTGAGAAATACAAGGCCCCCTGTTGTTCCTGAAATGTTGAAGTCATACAAACAGAGGAAAGATGAATTGAGTGTTGAAGATGACATATTATTGTGGTTTGGAAGAATTGTAGTTCCAGAATGCATGAGAACTGATGTTCTGAAGATATTGCACACAGGACATCCTGGTATTGTATCAATGAGGTCTGTAGCACGACACTATGTATGGTGGCCCAACATGGATAAAGATATCGAAGTTTATATCAAGAGGTGCACATCATGTCAAGAGAATCGAGATAATGTGGAAGAAGTACCATTATATCCTTGGAATGTACCTGATAGAGTTTGGGAAAGGGTACACATTGATCTGGCAGGGCCAGTCAACGGATCTATGTGGTTGGTAGGTATTGATGCTTTGTCAAAGTGGGCAGAAGTGGACTGTCTCAAGACAACAAACTCTTCAACAATCATTCAACGATTGAGATCTTGGTTTAGTCGATATGGAATACCAAGTGAAATTGTGACAGACAATGGACCTCAATTTGTATCAAAGAAAATGGAAACATTTTTTGAGAAAAATTCTATCAACCACATAAAAACAACTCCTTACCATCCTAAAAGTAATGGACTTGTGGAAAGACTAATTCGTACTTTGAAAAGACGGTTCTACACAACAAAGCAGGATGTTGGAGATGGAATGCTAGCTCTTCAAAATGTTCTTTTTAGCTACAGAAACTCGCCTCAGAAAACAACTGGTAGGGCTCCTGCAGAATTGTTTTTCGGTCGTAGACTACCAACAATTTTTGACAATATGAAACCTAATCTTAGGAAAAAGATGGAGATGAAGCTTTGGAAAGAACAAGGGAGGGACAACAAAAAAGTTCGAACTTTTGAAGAGGGAGAAGATGTGTGGATTAAGAATGAACATGGAAATGGTTGGTCAGCTGGAATGGTGAAAAATAAAAATGGACTGTACTCATATGATGTACTTTGTGGAGGTGTTATAAAAAGGAAACATGCGGACCAGATGAGACAAAGAATGGGAGCTGTTGAATCCGTGTAAAAAGGAAGAGGGGAAAAGTGTTAGATAGTTAAATGTATAAGTAATTAATACATCAGCTGATTTATTATTATTAAGTTTGTTAGTAAATATTCTGCTTAGGTTGATGTGTTTAAGAATTCAATAAAATGGTTCTTTTATATTTTGAATATCATTTAGTGTAATTCTATAGTTTGTATCAATGATAATCGTTGAATAGACCACTTAAATGGTCGTAAGTATAAATCTAAGTATGTTTAACCCCCTCCTGCACGTTGACGCATAATATTGTTTGTTATTCCCGTCCGCTGCAACTATGTGCAATATGCAGCATTGCAGGTTATTAAGGTACGTAGTATGCAGATTTTATGTTTATCTTTTAAGAATTGGGTGTTTTCCTTCTTGGAACCCCTCTTGTCAGTTCGTCATATTTTGCTGCTTTTGAAACACTAAATAATAGAAAATCTTATCAATTATGCTGTTTAACTTGCTTAGAAAATGAGCTATACAAATTTTTATACACAGAATAGTGTATTTAAGGCACTACACAGAGGCACCAAGTCTTCCTCCTCCGTAGTACATGATGGCGACTGTGCTGGTGGGGGAGGGGTGTTGGTGTTGGACTTTGCTGGGGGGGGGGACTTTGCCCTAGACACCAACAGTGCTAGACACCACTTAAGTACCATTGGGTGTTTCCTCCGTAGGTTACTTCTCTGTGATTTAAAATTACCTGTAATCATATCAGTGATTTCTTATCTTTGCTATGCAGGATAGTGCTTTAATCCCAGCCACTGCAAGTTGTTAGGCTCGTCGGACGTAAATGTAACGGCTTAGCAATTTACTTTAACAAATTGAGTAAGTTACGTGAGCAAAATATTATTGACTAGTGGCTTGTAGGGACATAAGTCCCTAAAAAGCTCAATAATATAAAACAAATTATTCCAATATTTAAACAAACTAAGAAATATATTATCGCTGTGTCAGAATAGATATCCCTGTACGCCATATCTTTTGTGTAAAAAACAGTTTGTTGTTTGTCTTTGTTTGCCTTTGATGATGTTATTTTCAATAAATCATTTGAATAAATACATAGCTTTTAACTCTGATAAAGACAGCAAACATAAAATTATTTTTGAATAAATAATGGTTTATTAAGGTAGCTTTGGTCTTGTGGTTGATTGTGATAAAAAAGACCTCCCTGATTGGAACTTTGGAAATTGTCTTCGTCAAATAAGAAAAGGTAAATAAAGGTGTTTTTAGGTAAGCTTGTTTATATGCCAAACCCGCTAAATTAGCATCCCTACCCAGTTAATAATTCTAAGTTTATATTTCTTTTGTTAGGGTTTATTAGTGTAAAGTAAAGGCATCCCATTGACCAAACTTAACCCTAGATTTCTTCTGATCAACATAAAAAAACTACAATTAGTGAAAGTTTATGTGGTGGTATTCCTCTTTAAGGTGCAATTGACGTTACATATTCTATCAAATTAGGCCTAATCATTGGCTGATTCTTAACTCTTTTGCAAGCAACAGACAGTACCTGTTTAAAATCTCCAAGCATATTGTTTTTCCTCTCATTCGATCTTTTCATAGTACTTACTTAATTAACAAATATATATTTCCTGTACAAACCTATTCTATCTTTATTTCCAGGTTTATTTCTAAAGCCATTGAGGTTATTCCACTTCATACAAAGTATTGATTAAACACTACAACAAATCTCAAATTTAAAAGAATGAAAGTGTAGAATAAATCGAGAACATATGTTTTGGAATAAAAACTAAGCAGAAGTGTTCCATTTAATCTTGAATGGTTAATTATTTAGTCAATGTGGTTATTTAATGTTAAACGTTAAAAATATACAAATTTGAAAAGTTTCCCAGTAAAATTATTTATTTCCCCATTCCATAACGTAACTAAAAAGTCTTAATTTTTACAGGTAACGTAATAGGCTACCTGGTTTTATATAGTACGTTGCAGAATTGACTGGCAAATAAGTAATCCAAATTAATGTTATCGTTGCTTATACTGGCTTGATGATAAATCACGATCAGCTGTATTGAAGTAAACAGAAATCAGCAGTAAATGGCTTCTAATGCTTTTCTTATGGAGAACATTTTACGTTATATCTCGTTTTATGGTAACTTTACGGGAATTCTGCTATTTTTCCCGAGTCTCTGGGGTCAAGACCTTTAATTTAAGACATCTCCCACTTTTCTGCGACCTACCAGACGTCCACAATTTTCTGGTAAAAATTTTGTCTTACAGAATTATATATAAGGATGATTTAACATAGTTAGTTCAGCTTTTCTTCACTGTTCAGCTTTGCCTCACACAAGAAATTTGAGCACGCACCGTAAAATACCACTTTCGGTACTAGAAATGAGATATACTATCACAAAGTAATAACAGCTAATATAAACATAACAGTGAGTAATATTAACATGTACGAGTATTTAAATAAAAATTACTTACTTACATACTGACGTGTTTATATATTAGATAATGAAAATATAACAGCTCCTGTACTCTACACTGCAATTAACTAATTTCGTAAATACTGTCAACTAAAAAAATAGATTTTTGCCAAACTGAATGCAGGAACATAACAATAAACATTATTAGATTGCATCAAGTAGGGAGTTGGCTTCACTACATTTACTGTGCAGATAGATCCAGTAATTTATGGATAGTTTGTAAAGACTATTTGCCATATTACAGTACGTACAGATACTAGAATATATTGTACACTTCACTAGAATACATGACACTATTATGACCAATATCCGAAGTGTATTGCAAAAATAGTCTTCTACATGAAATACAGTTAGACAAACAAATATTATAACCGTTTTCTATCAATGTTTTTTAAATGTTGTACAGTAAAAACTAATTAACCTGTTCAATATTTAACACTTTTCTACTTGATATTTCAGAGGATGATGAGGCCAGTGGGAATGCCGTTCTAGGACTTCGTCCTCCTCCGCCATTGGTAAAGAAGCAGTTCCGTCAGGCTAGCGTTTCGTTTGTATTACCATGGAAGGTTGCAAATACACGTTAGTAACATGAATCACCTGTTAATGGAGGTTAGTTTATTTGGCTGTGAGTGTTTAAGACGTGATTAGTAAAGAGGGTGGTCTATGTAGTGGTTGGTTGGGTAGTTATTAAGTTTTGTTGTCGTGTTTGATGAATTTATAGTAGGGTTAGGATATTATGAAAGCGTCTTTGACTTTTATAAACATAAACAGCTTAACTGTATAGAATGCTTAGATGCCATTTTCAAATTGGGCTGCCACAAACCGACATGGCCGGAAGACAGTGTGCCAGGAAATCAAGGAAGCTGTCCGAGTCCGGAAATTGGTGACCTTCCGAATCCAACTACCTAACAAACAAAATGAAAAATAGATATTTAGTATATGCTATGATCACTGATTTGTTAACATATACCCTAAGACACAAAATTTTAAAGTGAGATATTTTATTCTAAGTGTGTTGCAAGATTATAAAGTTCGATACATGATTTTGAAAAGCACTTTCATATAAAAACTGTTTGTTTGAAACTCAACACACTTCAAACATAAATAAATGCATTAATGTAAAATTAGTACATAAATATTCACTTTTTAGCTCTCGAAATCATTGCATCCATGGTAAAACAATTAGTTTGCATTGAAAAAAAACAATTAGTTTACTAGAAGATTTCCAAGTTATGATTTTAAAGTGGGGGTTTTCTTATGAAATGTTACAATAATTTATCAATCTGATAAATCAATCCTACTATATTTTATTAATTACTTACTTACTTACCTTTAAATACTAAAAGTCAAAAGCACTGGGGATAACGTAAATATAAAATATTCATGGTTCCAAATAAGCTGTCAATCCGCTCAAAACCGATTTACAGGCGACTTCATTTTCCTCTGACACATCATTTCGGCCTGACAATGTTTGAAAACAGCCACGATTTACATTTTAAGGGCATTAGCTTAAGCTTAGCCTTCTCTTTTTTTACTACACAACTTTTCAAAGGAGATATTTATTTATTCAAAATGATTGATCATTTGTTGGTAGATGAAGTATATATTAAATTTATGAAAAGGAGCTTTTACTTTAATTTTAACTTTGGCATTCCCCTTTAGAGGGTTTTTGAATAAACTTTTTTTAAACTAAAATTATTAAGTAAAATAGATGCTTATGTTATTTTGTATTACAAAATATCACAATTTTAATAAACATTATTATATAAAACACAAGCATTCATAAATAACTATTACGAACGAACATAGAGTAAAACACCTAATCTATAATATATTATAATCTCAAAATTTTAGTAATATTTTTACTTCACCAAACCTTAAACCTTAAGAAATTGCATTTCAGTTGAATAAATACGGTGTTAACATCCTACTTGATCTGTACAGTACTATAACTAATATTCTTTAGCAGCTTAGAGAAAATTATAACAAATGATGTACCTACGTATAGTAAAACCAAAGGCGAAATTCATAACACAAGCCCTAAAAATAGGCTATTATAGAATTGTATTTGTTTTTGTAACAAAACAAACTATATGTATATATTGGGTGCTGTACTCGCTGCATATTCCCATTACCCATCTTACGCAATTTATCAGATGTTCTGTAGCCGAAAGAGTTATATGACGTCATAAAGCAGCTGAGAATGGTCGGGGCTGCAAGCGCTGGTGGCACTTTGAGTGATGGTATTGCCCTTAAGGACACTGCACTTTGCACTTTACTGCAACTTTAAATGGATCCACATTAGCTACGTAAGATGATATTCAACAAGTAGAGCTTCAAATTTTACCGTGTGAATTGTGTTTAACCTAAATGAACCTTAAAAATCATAATTTAAAATACTTGACCTAACCCACCATGTTAAACTTCCATATCCCAAGCGTGATGTATACAACTTCATTACTTCACGAGTGGTGTAAAGTTGAAAAAACTCACTCGGTGAGGTAATGAAACCCATTTAAATAACATTGAGTGCTTAACTTAAAAAAT